TGCAGGAGCGACGACACACACTCACACACACAGACAAGCACACGGCTGCTGCTGATGGTGCTGCCGCCGTCTTGTTGACAGCAACTCACAGCCGAGCGGGCTCTTATGTACAGCCGGCTCGATTAATTCTGCGTGAAATTCATCCCTGAGCTGAGCAGCGGCGGAACGAAGCGGGGCGGGGCAAGGCGGGCGCACCACACCACAATTGTTGTGTATGCAATACGCGACTCTGCGCTGCCAGGGGTTCGGTTTCTCGCGCTCATGCCCCCCCCCTCCTCCCCTCCTCTCTCTCTCTCACTCACACACGCCTCCACGCACACACAGAGCAGCGAGCGCCGTGGTTGGCTCCTTGCGCAGTTGTTGTCTATGGGGGCTGCAGCCTCCTGCTTTGATGTCTCGTCTTTTGTTGCGTTCCCCGACGACTAGCACTGCCATCCCCAAAGGTGCAGCCGGCATGCGGCCTGTATCTGTATGGATACGTTCGAGGTTGGGGTTGGTAAAATTTAAAATAATCATAAGAAAATAAAACCCGTAGTATGTTCTTTGCGGAAGCACAACCCCGCAGGACGCTACTCTCGGCCATACTTCTTTTTTGGCGAGTAAGGGCGCAAAATGTCCATATCTTACGCGTGCGGTCCGGGGGCTGGCCGCCGGGGCTGGCCGCCGGGGCTGGCCGCCGGCCAAGCGCCTGACCTGGCTACTGGACGCGGCCGCGGCGCCCCGCGAGTTGGACCCGTTGGACCCCCCGGGGAGACGGAGGAGGGAAAGGGGAAAGGGGGAAGGGAGGGGGGCGTTATGGACAGTTAGATGGGTTTGACCGCAACCCCGTTCCTATTGTAGGAAAATGTGATATGGGCAAGAAGTCCAGCAGCAGCAGCAGCAGCAGGGTCTGCTTCCCTTCCTGCTGTGAGTCTTATTCCAGGGCCCTTTACTTGGACTTTTAAGATTCATTCGGTAAATTATAGGAGCTCGGCGCCTGTGAGACTTGGGGTAGGCCAGCCCGCAGTACACGCATGCATTGCAGCCAGGGTATTGCCTACCCATCAGGCGCTACGAGAGCTGTCGTGAACTTGGCACTTTCGTAGATAGCAGCCAATGTGAAAATTAAAATTTCTCTGTCAATGTCCTCTACTGAACTCAAGGCCCCGCAGCGGTTTCAGCCCCTCTTGCAAGTCCATCCCTGTAGTTCTTTTTGCAGGGCCCTTTGCTTTGCATGAGTCCAGGCAGTCCCCATAGTGGCAGAAGGGCCTGCCTCCTGCCTCCCATCCTGTGCGTCTTGAT